AGTAGTTTTAATGTCTTCCTTTGGCCCACTGAGGACTGTCATCAATCGAGCACTTCGCTCCTTTGTGCCGGTGGTCCGGTTGCATGAATGGGAAGCACCAGACTGTGACAATGGCTGCCAAGAGCGGCAAAGTAATCACCTTCCAGGGAAAACATAAGTAATCACGTCTAAACTGTTTGAGCATCCATACAAACAGTATTCTGTGATCTGGGAATGTGAATGGGAGCTTTTCTAAAGTGCTAGTGCTTCTAGGGCTTCTGTTTGTTTATATGTGAGGACCAGAATCTTTCTGTCACCACTCGCTCTGCACTGGAGAAGAAAGTGGCCATTACATTTAGTTTAGGATGGTGGTAAAAATGCAGGGTAAGACAGAGTGGTGAGTTTAAAAAAAGAACCAACAGTATATGCAACCAAAAATACTTTCAAATTAATTAAATGTAGTATCACACAAACTGAACTTAATCAGTTTTTATGATTAGTCTACTCTCAATATATTCTTCTCTGTTAAAATAAATAAAGGCTTCTGCAGGAGCTGTGTTCCTATCTCAATTTAAAGTTCCTATCTGACTGTAAATTTGAAACAGTTCTATTTCCTTAGTGAAATTACCATCATTATCAAACAGAGAGGATTCTGAGTTAAGATGTTTCTGTAATCCAGCCTGATCACCAGAGCCGCTAGGTGGCCTCTTCTAGTATAATGCAGTGTAACACGCAGTCATCAATTATTATTCACAATGTGGATTCTTACACAACCCTGCAATGTGTAATAAAATTCTCTTTGCATTATTCAGTAAATAAATCTCTCTGAGAATAGCAAAGAGAGGGATTTAGAGGAAATGAGAAATGAGATTTAAACTGATTTCATTACCATATTATGACTATATCATTTAATTTCACAATTTGGAATTATGAAAAGGTCAGTTGTAACTCGGAGACATGGAAAGATGGTAATACCAATGATCCATGCTCGACGATGGAAATAAAAGTTGATATCTATGAGAATTGCATAAATAAGAAGGAGCAGGCTATGATGATGGCATGATAGACCATCTACAGTACGTCCGCAAAATTTCAGTTGTAATTTCGCTTATAATGCACTAGATGGTGCTAAACACCAACAGCATATTGATATGAGTTTGCTATCAGTAATATTAGTCGTCTTGATCTTAATGAAACCATTGCCAGAGTAGGCCTACCTCTGGCATCGGAAAAGCACTAATAATAAGTTAGCTAAAAAAGAGGGAATGAATAAGTTGTGTGTATCAGTAGAGTACACTAAAATGCAAAACAATACTTACAATACTTCCCTTTAGAAGAATATGTAAAAACATATTATCAATCTATCTGTGAGATTTGCAATCTGTTCGGTCAAGTGCGACATAACATTGGCTCAACCAACGGTGTGAGTTTGAATGAACAATGAAAGATGAAAGTTTGATACTTTATCACTAAAAAAAGTCATTATTTTTGCACAACTAGAATGTTTTACAAATGTATTAGGCCTATTCATCCATCTAGTATGGACTAAATCTATAATGTCTAGAATGTCTAGTATGCACTCCAAACACGCTATTCCTTTTAGGACCCTGAAAGTAAAAAAAAAAAGGGGTCATGACCCCACAGCTAAGAAGTATGCATACTAAATTCTCTAGTATGCACTAGAATATACGTTTTCCTGTAAGTATATTAAAACATGTCAGGTTGATAGTAGTACATGCTTCACAATATGTACTAATATAGGCTCTATATATATATATATATAGAGAGATATATATGTGGCTATATATATATATATATTAGGGCTGTCAAAAAAAATTCGAATTTCGAATATTTGTCGAATTTAAAATAAAAATCCACATTCGAATGCAAAAACGTTGCATTCAAATTTTAGGTGTGCATCAGGCAGCCTTATCAGTGGCGCACGAGATGCGATGACGATGTAAGTGTCATTGCATTTTAATGCTTTTGTTAGCCTATCCAGTTGAACCCACTAGATGCGGCACTGCTACATTGCTCATTCAAAATATTGTGGGAAAAAAGAACATCAATGCAGAGATTGAAACCAAACCGTTCACACAGAACGCATATTTATCACATTTTCTAGAGGGATGTCTATCACCGTTGCACTCGAGACGTTGTGCAAGACGCACAAGAGAGCCGCATGTTTAGAAAGCCATGTAAAATTAATGTAAGTTCAACTTTTTAAAAACATGTCTCAAGACTTAATGGCGGTTTTTCCCCATTCCACTGCATCTTAAAACAGTATGCAATAATAACAATAACAACGACGTGATATCTGATCTGAAAAAGTAGAAAAAAAAGTTCGGCAAAACGCGATTCGAACCCTGGTGGATCGCGTCAAAATCGACTTCAACACGTACTGCACCATCTACGCTACAGGAGCGGTTATTAGATGATAGTCTTTTGTAATGCTTTGTAATTACACATTGGTGGGCAGAGTTAGTGTAAAAAGCCTCTGCCAACAAGGCGGGCTATTTGCACTTGTAAATAGACACTCCGTCTTTTATTTTGTTACAGTTCAGCACATTCCAAGGGTTCCGCCAGTAGTGTGTACCAGGCACGTGCACACATATAGACATTAAAGGGGGCTTGAGTACCTGCTCTTTTTCTTCCTCGAGAGAAAGTGCCCTTTTTTCTGGGGATTATTATTATTTATTTTATTTATTTTTTATAAATGAATATAGCCTATGTATATATGTGCGCGTGTGTGTTTCTGTTTGCGCACAGCTTTCCCTGTCAAGCAAATAAAAAATCAAAATATCAGATCGAGTCGGGAAATGTCGACACTGTCGAGTTCCGATGCCTCTCTCCCCTCCACGTCTCCGCGCAGACGCGCATCACAGCAGTGTAGCCATATAGTCTATGAGTGTAGCACACATTGATCGACACATCACAGTCACAGACAGGCAAAGAGCCGCAGAAGTGAAGCCCTCCCTCCCTTTCCAGTTGTGTTTGTTTATATCATTTCATATAGTTAATCAGTATCACACGAAGTCTTTATACAGCAGTTCAATAAACAAGAATTTAGTACACTTACGTTAGACACAATTGACTGTTTTTGCTCTACTTCGCCAACAAATATAATTCCAATTTGCATCTCTGAGCAACATGACAATGAGCACGTTTACATGCACACCAGTAAGCTGATAACTCACAAATATCAGCGTATTAAAATAACGTTTTCCCCGTTTACATGCACATCAGTAACCTGACAACGGAAGTAAGCTGCATTTACATGACTTCATTAATAAATCACTAATACGCACTAACGATGCGTTTCTGTGACGTATCACACATGCGCGCTTCAAAAAGAAAGCGGGTTATTGCGTTTACACGCCGTGCGAAATCGGAGTAAGAGGCAAAAAACTACCTGTTGCGACCGGTTTATGCTTACGCTGTTTATGACCTTACTCCGATATAAGAAAACGGGTTACCACATTTACATGACCAAGTGCGTTTTCGGCTTATTAAGCATAATCGGACGGATAAGAACGTGCATGTAAAAGACCTCAGTGTTTCATTCCTGAATGAATCAATCGTTTAATGATTCGGTTCGATCGCAATGACTCACTTATTAACAGTGACTTGCTGCCACCTACTGGCGGTTTTAATTTCACATTTACAGTATCTTTTCATTTAAAAAAAAAAAACTAAAAATCAAATATCAGTATTCAACATTTTATGTTTAAAATATCAAAACAGTATTAATGCACTTGTAACTGCTTATAATATTAATTGACTGATTCAAGTTAAGAATTTGACTGAAAAGATGATGCACACTTTTAGAAAAAATGGCTTTATAAAGGTAAAAAAGGCTTTATAAAGGTAAAAATCATAGACTGTATAAAAACATGGAAGTAGTGTCCGTGACGTCACCCGTAGGTTTCCGAAGAGCGTTTTTGAAGCCTAAAGTAGGCGGAGCCGGCCATCGCCATCTTGGCAGCGCATCACCGCGTGTCACTCCCGGATAAGCGAAAATGGGCAAAAAGGCGGGAGCTGGTTGCTGAAATCACGCCCACCTAGCTCGACGGTGGTGACAGCAGCGGCAATCCACCTGTCACTCAAGTGGCCACGCCCTTAATTATGCAGAACTTTAAGGCTTAATATCATTTCAACGAATGAGTTATAAAAAACTGGCTACGCGAGACTACTATGGGACTGACTCCCTTTTGTAGCCTAGCGGCCAGTCGATGAATTGCAGTTTTAGTCACTTCCGTGTTGGTTTCATGAGAGAGAGTGGGAGGTTGCCACTTGGTAAAAATCTATTTAAACTTATTGGAAAAGATTAATTTCTATCACTGCTGTGAACTGATCACCACTAAAAATATGCACAATATCAAAAACTTTAGGAGTCAGCTTTCCACGGTAGTCCTTATCAACCTTATCCTTAGATATCAGCACAATAACACACTCACCAAAAAGTTGTCTAATTATCGTTATCGATAAAATCCCAGAAAATATTGAGATTTCTTTTTTTCAATATCGCACACCCCTAATATATAACGTTTTGTTTAGGAAAAAATCTAAATAAATATGAGAGGTGCCCTTTTTTCCACTTGAGCCCCTGCCCCTCAAAATGCCTGTGCACGTCCCTGAATTGATTAAAATGATCCAGTGTGCACTGTGTAGTATGCTTATTTGTTTCTATTTATTTATTTTTGCCTTCAACCACACTCGTTGATTGTACACCTACCCACTGGATGTGATCAGCACGATTACTTATTGCGGAAGGTCTGTGTGTTTAAGTGCACTCGAGAGCACCAACAGCGTTACAGTGCTAATGAGCAGAACGGTGTGATGCTGATGACATGTAACCGCTGTGACACTGCTGTATGTGCGCCACCGCATGTTCACAAGCAGGTTACAGAAACCCACGGCGGTTTATTGAAACAATATCTGCTCTGACAGCACCAGCGAGCGCTTGATTGAAGCTTCATCTCTGGATGAAGTCCTGCTCACACAGAGCCGAGCAGAGGCGACTGCCATTGATGACACTGAGGAGACTAAAATGGGAGAACATCACTGGAGCCCTGCTGTCAGTGAAGAGAGAGACATAAAGGCGACTGACCACCGACAGCCATTCGAAAAGAGCCGAACGGATGCTTCATTTTCAATGATCGTCACAAGGTAAATGTCTTCCATTCATTGGTAATATTTGCACGAGATTCGCGCCGTAGAGAAACCAGCGCCGCTATTAGCGCGCGGTAAACAATGGAATGATGACAGTGGTGATTTCCAGCTGTTTCTCATTGTTCGCATAAAAGGTAGATGCATATAATTTTGGCCCGTGCTTACCAACACAAGACCAGGTAAGATACGAAGCACACAGCTTATAGACCATGAAAATAGATGAATCTGTTGTCTCTGTATACAGATTCACTGTTTCTCTTAAATATTTATTATGCACTGCTTACGTATAAATATGCATACTGATTTGTTCATACATGCAGTAAATACTATACTATGTAGTATGCACTGTTATGTAGCAGGCACTAGAACCTTTGTGTACAGGTATAGCCTATAGAAAATGCATGTATAGTATACATTGTAGTCCAAGGTTCATTATAGAATAGGGCTGTGCGATATGCGATAACTCATTAAATAATGCGATATTCGATATGCGATACGATAATGCTTAAAGTGCCACATGCTCAGATGAAACAGTTTTACTCAGCTATTGCTGAGTCAGTTCTGTGAACTTCTATAACTATCTTGTGTCATATATATATGGATATTTTTATGTATGTATGTACCAAGAGTTCCTGTAACACCACAACAAATTCCTTGTGTTTGCGCACACTTAAGTGGTGAATAAAGCTCATTCTGATTTTGATTCTAATAAGAAAGCACCCCTACAACAACTTCTGAAAGTGAACGGTATGTGTTTTACTCAAGCATTACATAAAAATGTAATTTTAACATGAGTGTAGGAACTGCATAATAAAAAGGAAAAAAAAAACACTGTATAGTATTTACTCTTTGAATTCAATATGCACTGATTCTTATTTAGCTACAACAGTTATTTAGGTAAGAGCAGTGAGTGATTTTCTCTTTGTCTTTTGTTGATGGCCCCAAATATTGCAAGCTGTAGCGATATGCATATTGCGATATGTACATTTGCTATATTTTGATATATTGCACAGCCCTATTATAGAATGTACTTTAAATTACAATATGTATGTATAAAAGTATATGTACAGTACAAATTTGAAGTTTGGCATTGAGTACTGCAAATATTGTTGGCTGTTGTTTTATAAAGTTGTGTAATAGTATTAGGGATGCAACAATATTAAAATTCTAGTCAATGCAATGTCAATATTTGTTTGTTATTGTTTTTAGTATTAATATCATTATGGCTGGTAACTGCTAAATATTATTTATATGTGTGTGTGTGTGTGTGTAATTATTATTCATTTATTTCATATTTAATATTAGTCATATTAAAATGACTACTTTAAATTCATTATTATCACTAATAATTAAAATTAATTTTAATGCTTACTAAAGATTTACTAAAGTTTGTAAGGATTAATTTTCAGTAAGTGTAGATAACAAAGATAATCTAAATGGAAATGAGCTATTTACATAAATATGTAAAATGTATGTGTAGGTTGGACACAATAGTTCTTTCAGATGTCTGTTACACTGTGACTCAAGTATCATTACAGAACATTCATCTAAGAGGGATCAGGATGTGTTGAACATTTCTTCTTGTGTTACGTCCTCTTTCAAGGTGTGAAGAGGTGTGAAGTCGTCAGACCTTCAGGCTGGTGTTGGTGAAATCCGAAAGGCTTCTAATGTGTTATCTCCCATCTTGTCTCTGTCACCATGCCCACCTTTCCACCTCTGGGCAGTAACTCCAGCACAGTGCCCTGGGACCCCGGCGCACCTTCTCTGGTGAACAGCACGGTGAAGATGGTGCTTATATCAGCGATCGTGTGCACGTCACTGTTTGGAAATGTTGTGGTGCTGCTGGTATTCCAGCGCAAGCCGCAGCTTCTCCATGTTGCCAACCGTTTCGTGCTTAACCTGCTCCTGGCCGACCTACTGCAGACGGTGCTAGTCATGCCCTTCGCCATCGCTGCAACTGTGCCTGAGGTCTGGCCGCTGGACGCCAGGCTGTGCCAGGCTCTTGTGGTGCTCATGCACCTGTTTGCATTCGCTGGCGTCAACACCATTATCGTGGTGTCCGTGGATCGCTACTTGGCCATTATCCACCCGCTGTCCTACCCCACACGAATGACACCTCACCTGGGTACCAACCTGATCGCTCTCACATGGCTTCTTAGTGTGCTTCAGAGCACCCCGCCGCTTTATGGATGGGGAACCATCGAATTTGACCGGCGCCACAACGCTTGCACTGTTGTGTGGTCCTCAAGCTACTCGTATTCAGCCCTGGTGTCCTCGCTTTCATTCTGGCTGCCTGTGGTGATCATGCTTTGCTGTTATTGGATGGTGTTCAGGGCAGCGAGGCGGCAGAACGCTCTCGTTCACCCCATCCAATCCAACCCCCCTCCAGATTCTCAAGCATCCTGTTCCAGTCCCCAAAGGCATCCTCAGCCGGAAGGCCCGTTTTCAGCCACTTATCCCATCAGGACCCGCCATAGACGCTTCCACTATCATTGTAAGGCTGCGCGGGTGGTGTTCGTCATCATGGCGTCCTACGTGCTCAGCATGGGCCCGTACAGCGTCCTGAGCACGATATCCATTTACTCAAGTGCAGCAGTGCCGCCCTGGTTGGCCTCGATGGCGCTCATTCTCTTCTTCCTGCAGTGCTGCTTACACCCCTACATCTACGGCTACATGCACCGCAGTGTACGCAAGGAGTTCCTGGCGCTGCTCTGCGGACCGCTGTGTGGGCAAGGCCGGATCATTCGGGGCTCCGCGGTGGACAGCTGCTTCACGGTGACGGATGGACGCCTGGCACACACCCACCTCTCAAGCCAGGCTGCCCGTGTGTGTCCTCTCCGAACCTGGGAGGAAGGCACCACGTCTTCTTCCCCTACAGAGAGGAGGTCCAAAGACAGCCGTAAGGAAACCACCTCCATCAGTCTGAGCTCAGAGAAGGAGCTCACTGTAAACAGCCACACCAACAATCAACCTGAGGAAACACCTACAAGCAAATTCTGAACATTTTTCTGTCAGTGTTGGGGTATGTACATCTCTTTTGGTTTCCATTTAGGGCACAGTTTGGTACTTTAGAATCTAATACTGTGCCTTTAAACACAAGCTCACTGAATATACTGTAACCACACACTCAGACTAAAAGTTGCACTGGGTCACTAGAGTGGCACCCTTTCAAAATCTGTACTAATATGTATTGTTTAGGTACTAATATCACTGTGGGTGATAATATGAACCTTTAGGAGTTTAAAAAAAGTACCTTCTTAAAATGTACCGCCCCCTATGGATCTACTTTGTGGTTAGTATTTACAAAAATAACATTGACGACAACAGAAAAGCCTTGCAAACATAGTTTCTTGGCAAGATGATAGACTGTTTAAATGATCTTTTAGTCAAGAGTTACATTCTTTCTTTTTAAACATATGTTCAACATGTTTTAAAGAAATTTTACTTGTATTCAGCAAGGATGCATTAAATTGCATTATACTGTAACCACACACTCAGACTAAAAGGTGCACTGGGTCACTAGAGTGGCACCCTTTCAAAATCTGTACTAATATGTATTATTTAGGTACTAATATCACTGTGGGTGATAATATGAACCTTTAGGAGTTTAAAAAAGTACCTTCTTAAAATGTACCGCCCCCTATGGATCTACTTTGTGGTTAGTATTTACAAAAATAACATTGATGACAACAGAAAAGCCTTGCAAACATAGTTTCTTGGCAAGATGATAGACTGTTTAAATGATCTTTTAGTCAAGAGTTACATTCTTTCTTTTTAAACATATGTTCAACATGTTTTAAAGAAATTTTACTTGTATTCAGCAAGGATGCATTAAATTGCATTAAAGGCATTAAACTGCATTAAAATCATGATGTTCACAAAAATATTAAGCAGCATGACTGTGTTCAGCACTGATAATAAGAAGTGTTTCCTGAGCACCAAATCATTATATAAGAATGATTTCTGAAGGATTCATGTGACACATGTGACTTCTAAAAATGCAGCTTTACCATCACAGAAATAAATAGCGTTTTAAAATATATAAAAATAGAAAAAGTATTTAAATAGTAATATTCCACAAAATTACTGTTGCTGAATTGTTGATCAAATAAATGCAGCTAGGGAGAGCATAAGATACTGAAAAAAACATTTTAAAAAATCTTACCAACCTTAAACTTTTGAATTGTAGTGTTTGTTTACTCTGTGTATGGGAAAGTGGTTGAAAATCTATCATCAGTTATAGTACACGGTTATGGTTATTTAAACAAGACTGGAAACAAGGTCTGAATAATCCTTTAATACACCAGGCTTGACATCTAATACCTTATTATGAGTGGTTTAAAATATAAAATATTGGAGACATGGTATAAAGTGCTCCATCAAATACAGAATATTGTTGTTGTTTTTTTTAGTGTTTTAATATAGTACTTAAAATATTAGGGAGTAAAATGTTGGAAAAATATTTTTTGAGACAGCACATATTAGTGTACAATATCTCTAACCAAATGAATGTTCTTTGTATACATCCATGTCAAATGTATTGCTACTTTACAATTTAAAGACGAAGTATTCCTTATGTTGTTTTGAAATGAATTTAGAATATATGTGGAGAGATTTCTGTCTATTTTTCTAAGCATACATATTAACTTTGTTATACGACTGAATCATTGTCACTGGAATCAAAGTTCTCTTTTAAAGAAACACTGTAAATATAAGAGTAATTACAAGCAAAAGGAAGTTAACAAATTGAAGAAACCGTTCTATGTATTTATTGTTCATGCACCAGTAATACTTAAGCGATGAATCACATCAGCATTAGGGTATGGGTCACTGTATTTGTTTGTATTTAAAAGATGTGCGATGTAGAGGGGTTTCAGTGTTTTGAAGAGGGTGAGTCACATGAAAACTGTCAAGATCATGTCTGTTTATCTTTCACCCCAAAATGAGAAAGAAAATTAAGCCTACATTTCGACCATTTTTGCATTGTTCCCACCCATCAAACCTTTTCTCATACCTTTACTGTAAAAAACAAAAAAAAAGGTAAATCTTAATTCAATTTCATTCAAGGTATTTATATATCATGGTAGTATTTGTTGAATTGCCTTATTTATTTATTTGTGAAATGTGACCTGGGACATGCTTTCGTGAGATTCACCCAAGAACAGCTAATGAGCTCAGGATCTCAGGTTATTTATGATGTACCTCTTGACCAGTGTGGAGAGTCAGCTCTCTTTAAGAGTGCCTCCCTAGATAAATTGTACATGATCTCTGTGTTGTGCAATATGTTCAATCCCCTGACACTGCCAAATGTATAATTTAACCACTGACATGATGTGAGATTAAATAAGCTGGCTTCAAAACTGCTGAAGCAATTTAATATGTTATCAAGTTCAACCACTACATCAAGGCAGGAATGTTAACCGCTCTTGAGCACTTAGCTTGACCCTGTAGAAAATGGGACTGCTAGTGCTTCATTATTAATTTCTGGCTGGGGTGTTTAGAAGTCAGCTGAATCAATCATGAGTCAAACCTGCAATTTCCTCTGCTACAGCAAGTATTATTTTGAAACCAGTGAGTGCAGCAATACAGATCACTGATATTATCAACTGTATGTCAGTTTCCAGTAATGTCTGCAGCACTTATAAAACTATAGACAGTCACTTTCAACAAAAAAAAACAAAAAACAAACAGCGGAGTCAGCTAAAACAGGTCATCATCACTCCAACTGTAACAACTGACTGTTTTATATATATAAAAAAGTTAGAATTAGACATTTTTGTAATGATGTACTTTGTGATTTTTTTTCATTATAACATGGTGAAGAATGTTTATGTACACCTCACAAGACTTGAAGCTCAGTACATTCTGTGAGTTTTCAAATTAAAATTGAATTGAAAAATGATGTGCATGTCGTTTTCTTAACGTATTGACATTTAAATAATTTACAAAGTACAAAATCACTAAATATCTCCCATTATTTAATTATTACTTGTATAAGAGTCCTATAGCAAAAAAAAATGTGCTTCTTAACCATTCAGTTTCCTTCCCTCCATAAAAAACAATTTGTCAGCAAGATAAAACTATAAAAACACATGGAACAAAATAGTTTTATGCTACTAACAATGAAGTAAAAATTATTACTGATATTCACCAACAGGTGACAATATAGAGGTTACTGTGGTGTGGTTTTACATGACTTAAGGAGCGGTAACATTAGCTAAATTATGGGTGAAATTTTATGGGCAAAATGGGCAATTGTATATTGTCAATAGCACGAATCATAAAGCACAGCACACACAGAAGTCAATTTAAAACAAAGCAGCTTTCTGTTGGTCAACGAGACAAATCCATGAAAAACATGAACCTGTAGCGATTGCGTTAACTCCTATCTAAATGAGCAGATTTAGCTTGCAAAAAAAATTGCTGAACAACAGACAAATGTAACTGTCCCTTACAGGTGTGAAGTCAGTTAAATTTCACATGGCAAAAAAATGTATAAAAGCACCACTTATACAGAAGTCATTTTCAAACCAAGTAATTTTCTGTTATCAACATGTTGAAATTCCCGTGACCAACTTGAACATGAACAAAATCTGTGGGGAAAACTTTTTGCCCTCAAGTGAAACTCCCAGTCACATGGATTAAAATGACTGTATTTTGCTGCGAAATTTCACTAAGTAACGGTAAATGTTACATTAGCTAAACTTATTAGGCAAAAATTTCACCAACAAAGAGCATTCATTATGCATTATGTAGCACAGCATGAAGCACCTCTCACTCAGAGGTCACTTCCAAACTAAGCAGCTGTATATTGATCAATGTGACCAAATTGTGAGCTCAAAATGAACAAACTTGAATGCAGTGAGAAATCTGCATGTGGAATGTTTTCACGCATCACTCACGCAAAATTCCAGATTGCGTGGATTTTTATTAAGATGACTGCTTTTAGCTCACAGCATTTCACCGTACAAAGGAAAATGTGACCGCACCCGAAATTGTGTCCCATCTGATCTTTCAAAACAAATTCTGTATTAAAAAATCATGGACAGAAATAATTGTATTAAATATTCAAATTATGTCTTTACAGATGATGAAGTAAAACAGAAAATGTAAAACATACATTTGGATCAATATAAAAGCATAAGACGACAATTTTCTACATAAGAAATGGGTGTGGTAGGTTTAGCTGGAATTAAGTCACAGGTAGCGTGAGACAAGTAAAGCACTGAAAAATGGTCTTTGGAGTTCACAAGCACACCTGTTGCAAGTCAGTGAATTACAGTTGAGCCAAACACACCAGCCGTTCTTTTAACCTTCATTTAAATGTCTATTCAGACTTCCACATGAAAGCTGATCTGTAAAATGATGTTGTGTTCTCCAAATGTCCTTCCCTTAGTCCACCTTCAGCAAGCTGTAGATTTTATTTACAAACAAGAAGCAAGCGAAGAAGCCTATAGTACCTGGATGGAAGGAGAAATGTGAGAATTAACGCAAGAAATAAAAATAAAGAGCACAGGCCAACAAAATTAACATTTTAGTACATGTCACAAAATGTGCCAGACTAACTGACAGGGTTTCTATTAAAAACCACATTTAGAGTCATTTGGGTGGCATTGTATAAGATAACCGTCTATTAATAGTACCGTTTCAATGCAGCAAATTATCTGACAGAGCCAAACTAAGCTGAGTGTAATGAAGTACAGGATTAAATCGAATCATCGCTGGGGCGGCAGTGACAGCCAATCAACAATAGGTCTGATTGAAATCTTTAGTTCTGAATCTATTTTCAGATGGATTTATATACACACGATTCTCAGTCCTCCCCCTCACCTTCCACACACGCTCTCGCTGTATCTTCACTTGGCTCTTAGGATCTAAAAAGTCATGCTAGTTTTGGCTAAAACGAGCCATTTCTGGGAACCATTATTTTAAGATTTGGGACTAAGAGCGTAATGGTGATCCAGTAAGCCTCGTTTCAATTGTGCCTTACATTTTCACCC